AAAGTTTATAAAAAAAATACGATTTTTTTAAAAAAATTCTTTTTTATATTTTTAACTTTATAATGCTATAACTTTTTGAAAAGTGTATGGATCAACATAATTTTTTTATGAGAAATAATTATTTTTAATAATCCCTTTTTCATTCGATATACTTTATCTGAATCAGGATATTAATAACGAACTAGCAGATCATGTTGCTTTTAGAATAATCCACCTATTTTTTAAAATTAAACACTATTTAAAGATTTGCATTGAAGCGTTTTTTATGATAGTGATTTTAATCATTGTCAGATATCATTATACTTGATCCAAATATGTTATGTCACCACTGTACCACGACCCCCCTGTGCTGGGTTTTTTTAAATTTTTTATGCAAACAATATTTATGAATTTATACCTTTCAAAATAAATAATCTTTACTCAAATAATAAAATTTAATTCTTAATATTAATATGTTATTATACTTAGTTTAATACTAAATTATTTTAAATAAAATCCAGCACAGTGGGGTCGTGGCATAGTTGGGTCCAGTATAGATGATATCTGACAGTGATTAAAATTACTATCATAAAAAACGCTTCAATGCAAATCTGTAGATAGTGTTAAATTAAAAAAAAAAATTTTTTAAAATAGCATATTTTTGAATATGGTAGCCATTTGGACATAGAAGATAGATTTCTGGGACAAATTTTTTTTTTCATTTTATAGTACATAAAATAAACTTTAATTTGATATATGTTTAAAGGACGCAGTATTTCCGGAACATTTTCAAAAATTAAGTTGAAAAAGTTATTTTTTGTAAAAAAGTTACTATTTTAAATCCCCCCCAGTGAGCAGAATAAATGTTAGATTTTCAAAAAAAATTATATCAAATGAAAGGGAAATATCTAAGGTTTCAATACAAAAAAATATTATTTTTATTTGTTCATTTTTGAAAAAGTTATGGCAGTTTTAAGTACAAAAAACATCCCGATAAAAGGTAATTTTTATCGCAAACATTACATTTTTTTTTAATTTTCGACAGACATTTGCACATAGAAGATAAGATGTCGGGACAAATTTTTTTTTCATTTGATAGTATATAACATAACCTTTAATTTGATATATGTTTAAAGGACGCAGTATTTTCGGAACATTTTTAAAAGTTCACTTGAAAAAGATCTATGTTTTTTACAATATTTCAAGTTTTGAACGCCCCCTATATAAGGGGAAATTGTTCAATTTTAATAAAAAGTATGTTAAATGAAAGATGTACTTATAATGTATCTAGAAAAAAAAATTTGTGCTGATATATACATTTTTCAAAAAGTTATAGCATTTTTAAGTTGAAAATTTAAAATCGAAAATCGAAAATTTTAACACAAAAATAGTGTTTTTTTAACTACGGCAGCCGTTTAAATGTAGAAAAAAAAGTGTCGGGACAAATTTTTTTTTTTCATTTTGTAGTACATAAAATAAGCTTTAATTTGATATATGTTTAAAGGACGCAGTATTTCCGGAACATTTTCAAAAATTAAGTTGAAAAAATTAATTTTTGTAAAAAAGTTGCCATTTTAAATCCCCCCCANAATTTTCGTAAAAAAGTTGCTATTTTAAATCCCTCCTAATAAGCAGGTTAAGTGATAGATTTTCAAAAAAATGATATCAAATGAAAGGTAAGTATCTAAGATTTTATTATAAAAAAAAATTATGTTGATTTGTTGATTTTTGAAAAAGTTATGGAAGTTTTAAGAAAAAAATGTGAAAAAAATGACAAAATTAGCGATTTTTAAATTTGTAATTTTTTTGGATATTTCCCCCATTTGCGGGGAACGAGGGAATTTTTTTCAATTTTTAAGGGTAATGTCTTCAACTAGATACGATTTGTGATCTTTTGACGTATTGTTGAAAGAAATCGGTCCAGTTAGAGCTGAGAAAAAGTGGCAACAGACATAAAATACCTTCTCAGCTTCGCATCGAAGCTAAAAAAAAAACACATCATAGTAAAATTAATACCTTCTCCGCTTCGCATCGAAGCTAAAATCTATATTGTAACATTTTACTTTTAAACTATTAAACATTAAATTATACGATATACATTTTATTTGCAACAATTTTGGTCAAGTAGATCAAAAAGTGTATCAAGCCAACTGACATTTTGTTTGAATAATAAAAATATAATTGATTTAATAATAAAAAATTGTCGGTTTTTTTTTTGTAGACCTTTTTTAAACGTTATTGTTAGTAACATCATTATGTTATAATTATTAATAGCTAATCAAGAAAATATTTTAGATATATGTGTTTTTATAATTGGACTTTACTTGAAGAATATAAAAAAGTTTCTTGGTAGCTAACTTTCAAAGTCAGGGAAATCATAAAGTTGATGTTTTAATGCATCGACAGATCTAATTTATTCAATGTAAGGAAGAAACCCAGAGTTAAATAAATGTATTTACTGCTAAAAACTCATGAATCATAGCTTGTTCTAAAACTTGTCCATTTACACAGTGTCTAGAATAGAATGCTGGACACTATAGGAACTTACTGCTTTTGCATAATTTTGAAGTGTAAATAATAATTATGGTGTGACTCATTTTTTAGAAAAGCACTGAAGGTCTATATAATATTGATAAATATTTGATTGGTACCTTTAGGCTGGGTAAAACCACGTTCTAATTTTAGTGAGTCATAATATTTTATAACATGATCTTAAGTTGACGCCTGTCGGAACAAAAAATAATTTAATTGTTCATCCTAACAGGTTACGTTATTTTTTTTATAAATCACTTTCACAGATATATACTGAAAAAAGCAAAGCTGACAAACTTCTAGTCTAAATTAAATATACATTAAAAAGTAAATGAAGTATCAATTATTTTTATAATAACCTATAACCAATAACATTTACAATCTATTCTATGAATATTTTAGATTTTTTTTAGTTGTAAAATTTTTTGTGTCAAGCAAAAATATTAATGCACGTTATATTTTAAATGATATTGATTAGGTCTCAAGGTCTATTTTTAAGTATGTTATATGTTTTAAAACAAATAAAATATTCCCATGTAAAGAAATTATTTTAAATTCAAGGTTAATATAAAAATTTCATAGATTTGATTTTAAATGATTTTTGATCACATATAACCATTTAATTAGATTTCAGGTTTCTTTTTCAGTATTTATTACTATTAAACGAATATATTTATTAAAATAGAATACAATATAAATTAAATTAATTGGTATCATTAAAGGTTGCTTGTTGAATTTGAAAATGTAAACAAATTGTTGTAAGACTATTTATTAAGGGTAGGTATTAAGTAGTATAAATTATTTAAGGAAATATTTATAACGATTATAAATTATTCATTTTTTAGGGATGTATAAAATATTAATAATATTAAAAACTTATTACATTTAGATTTATATGTAGGTTAGCTTGTCAAAGTAGCTATAAAGTCAAAAGTAAAAAAGTACATCTATCGAATACAATGTATTATTTGTAGGACATATCAGGAAGTACAGACGAAAATTATAATTTCAAGGTATGGTAATGCCTCAAGCAAATTGATTGTTTTAAATTATACCTACCATTTCAATTTAATATGATTTACAAATTTTTCACTTTTTTATTGTTAGTTTTTGTAACGGGTTTTAATTAACTATAGAAGATTAAATATATTCTCTATAAATTATCATTTAACAGGTATTCGTAATCATAAGAATATGAATTTGTTTATATATCTTAATAACAAACATTGATTATTATGTATATTTTTTGTTAAATAGAGGGTCAGATAATATATTTAAATAACCGATTGTATTAGGAATATCTCAAAACCGTTATTCCAGAACATTGTAGTTTGATTTATTTTTTATCAAATGTAAGCTTTTAATGAGTTCAAGGAGAAACCGATTTACTATAACTGTTTTTTTAATTTATTTTACTGATAGTTATTATTAATTAATATTTTTAAATATGTAGGTGTCCTGAAATTTTTGATACTTAATTGATGTGCATTATTGAAAAGACAAACTTATTTCTGTACACCGGAGATCATAATGCCAAGTCACATTATTTTTTTTCAAAATAAGGTGAGACTAATTTTCAAAGGTTTATTAAATGAACATTTCAAAAATAAAATATATATATATATATATAAATATAGGTTTGGAGACAATCAAGTTAATATAAAGTATTTTTGCTACATAAGTTCAGAAAATATAGTTCTAGAAAAGCATTTTGAAGAGCAAATTTTATATAATAAAATTAAAAAATAATTAACCCTTAATATTTCTCAAAATTTAATTTTCAAATATTAACTTTTTTTAATTAAAAAGTAATAAAAATTGAACAGTCAAAAAACGATTAACTATTTTACTTGCAATAATTTATTGAACCGTTAAATTGTGTTAAATACATTAAAGTGTATGCCAAATACAGAGAAAAAGATATAATATTTTCCTTTAAATAACATATTTCTACTAATGTTTTTATTTTAAATTTCGAAACATTTCTTACAATTTTTTTTAATTCATATCTTATAAATTATAAAAATAACAGATATAGATTTTTTAAACCTCTTACCAATATTCTTTTACTATGTAAGAAAATTTGAAAAATATTTTGTTTAATTTTTCTTAGGGGATCTAAAAATTGATAAAATCAATATTTTCTTGTCTAAAGAATTTATCTTTTATCTCGTCAGTATTTTTGTAGCCCTTTATTATATGAATTAAAAATACTTATTGTATATGTAATTAAAGCAACTTTTGTAACTATGCATGCATATGTGCAGTGAAGGCTATAAATATAGGAAAATATGGAAACATTCAGGCATGGAGTTTTTCAGATGTAAAGTTTTATATCGAAATACGTCAAATATATTGTTAAACAATACATTAAATATTCTTGTTAAGAGAACTCGATAAAAGAAGTGCTATATAATTAAAATAAAAGGTTTTATTTTACTATTATGGATAAAGCAGACTTAACTACAGTCTTGTCGCCATAAGTTGTTTTTTTTTAATTTTTAATATAGCAATTTTAAAACTTTGAACACCACAATAATAAAATTAGATTATTGAGTTATCTTTTTATAATGAAGTATGTGAGTGAAAACGTTAGCTGTATAAGTCACATTCATTGATTCAGTGTGCAAATATGTAATTGTACAACTTATTGCTTGTGGAATTGACTTGAGTAAAGGTAATAATTATTCAATTTTTTTTGCAAGTCTTTTTATATAATTTGACATATTACCTCTAGCAATAACGGTTGCCCTTACACGTATCACGTATGTTTCTAAGTAATTATTTTTTATGTCATGAGCTAATCAAGGTCTGTGATCTCAGTCACTCTTAGCAATTATATTAAAATTAGATTTTATTTAAGAGTAACTGCTTCAAAAGCACTTATTATGTAATTTATCTAGTTCAGTTATAAATTTATAAAAATAGAATTTGAACTCTCTCTATTATTCTTTTTTCTCAACACGAAATTCTAGATTATGATGCAATTTCAAATTAAATACTTCTTGTAGCAAACGCCCTGTTGTTTGGAGGACCACGTACACGTGTGACTCATCAATCGAGAGATCACGTGATACTTTGTAGACCAACCGGCGCGACGATGAGAACGATAACCTGTACTCCTTGAAAGACTTAAGGAGTAAAATATACTGCCTCCAGGTAATGTCAAGTAACTAAACTCGTTTAAATAATTAAAATTAAATCGATTTCTATTTAAATATCGATATTTAGTTGATTTTAAAGTTTTTATTGGACGTACGTACCATTTTTCGTAATGTTTAGTTGTAGCTATAAATCGATTACAGGAAATATTTATAAATTAATTTAGTTTAATTAAAATGTATTATTCTGGTATTTATAAAAAAAATTCTATTAATATTTATATTATTTATATTATTAAAACTAACGTTTAAATTTGCTATGGATGATTTTTTTTTTATTTATCTTATATAAATAAAATTATAAATGTATAAAATTGCAAAAATTAAAATAAATGAATACAATGTATTTTTTTTAAATATCCATTTTTTGTTTTTTTCTTATAAAAAATGTTGATGGGTCATCAATAGTTTTAGTATGGGAGGTTGCACTCATTTTCTTGAAAATTTATAATCTTCGTAAAGAAAAAAATTGTTTTTCTTTAAAAAATTATTAAATAATATGTCGTTAAATAATTTTATATCTCATTATAATATTTATATCTATTTTTAATTTGATGATAGGATAGAGAAGTTGAATAATTGAAATTGTTTAACAAATTTGATTTTATAATATTTTTTATTCAATGATTACAACATTTTGAATCATAATTTAGTGGTATTTGACCAATTTTTTATTGACAGTTCTGGATATTATATCTAAACCGAAAGTAAGAATAAATACTTATGATTATTTATTAATTAATATTATGATTTTTACAAAGAAAAATTACAGGAATAAAATATATTTATATATCCATCTCAAAAGTACAACAAAATGAAAAACACCTAATATGGGGTTTAAATTGTGTAAAACTATTCTCAGGAATACGGAATCTGAAGAAAATTCAGATTTTTACCAATTAATAACAGTACCATAAGAATGCTTAAAATATATATTTATTTATTTATTTAAGGTATTACTTATAAAGACACAATAATCTAACTACTAGAATAAAACCATGATTATTTATTAAAATATTTTACAATATTATTATATAAATTTAATTAATTGATTTTTTATTTTGCAACTCAAATAATGAATTGAATAATTCATTGAATTATAACATATATAATAATTGTATTGAATCGTAATATATTACATATACAATAATATATAAAACAATTAAAAAACGTAGTTGGAAATAACAAAAAATCATCATTAAATTATTTAATTTTGAGCACATTTTTACTGATTTTCTAATGCTAAATTTTACATGTTAAATTTTTTTCTCATACTTCAAATTTTTAGGGTGTATAAAGAAGATATATATCTCAAAAATTTTTTTTTGAAATTAGGTCCCCTATCAGAAATATTGCACCTAGAATTTCTAACTTTGTACACCTTTAAATTCTAAGATAATTGTTTTAAATATTTGAACTTTGGTTCAAACATAGATTATACACTATAAAATACCATATCTAAAAATCACAATAAAATAATTACTTCTTAATGATTTTAAGTGAGCTCAAAAACGCCAATTTTCACAAAAAAGTGCCATTTTTAAAAAGTCATTAAAGTTTGGAATTTCACTAATTTTTTTTTAATGTAAAATTTAAGTTTTATTGAGGTAAATTCAAAAATTTTAATTCGATTGAGTTAATATTGAATAATTTGTGTGTTTTTTTAACATTCTGGCTATTTTAAACATTATTTACATTAAAATAGCCTTAAAAATGGCTATTAATAGCCAATTAATAGAAACTCTAGTAATAAATATAAAGAAATACTTGAACATAAAATTCTTAAACAACAAACGATAGTTGACTCAATTATGAATTATAATATTCAATGATTAAGTAACTTTCAATCTCATGTAGCAAAATTGTAGTTAATTATAAAATTAGAATCTTATTTTGAAGTCTACCAGATAAAAATCTACAATAATGTGTTTAAAAATAATAAATATTAACTTTATCTTGTGAATGACATTTATGGAAGCCGATAAACATAACGAATTTTCTAGTTCTTAATGTTATGAAGATATTAAGAAAAACCGTATAATTTCATAGAATAATCGACGTACCTTGTGGATAGTAAATGGTAGAAAAAAAAGCTAGATAATAAATATATAGAAAATTTAATTTAAAACAACTTTTATATGACAATTTTTAATTTATGATGGTCGGTTTATAAAATAAATCAAATTAATAGTTTCAATGGTAAAAATAGATCATTTGCATATATTTTTTTTTTATGCTAAATAAGAATTTATTGAACATTTTTGTAGACTTTTTTTTATAGAATGATATGATACTAAGAGTATCTATAAAATAACTTTTCTATATACATTTTTTCATTTAAGTTAATGTTTTTGAGATAGAAAAAAACAACAACTCTTAGGGTATAATTTTTAACACTCTTGAGACATGCCTTAGAGTTGATCAATCGTCACCAACTTTTCACAATCATTTTTTTTTGTGTATTGGAACAATTATAGGGGATGGCACTATTAAGTATTATTAAAAAAAAACCTGACAATGTATCTTAGGGTAACCCTGGTGGACATGGTGAACATCTCATTGGTTCCTCTATATTTATATAGAGATCACCCATTGACTTTGGTGATATGTCCGTCATTGCATTCATTATGTATGAATGCTCTTTTTTGAAAACAGATCATTTAGTTGTTTGATTGTCTGTAGACAGCTTGTTTATTCTGTTTTATAAGTCACAATAACTGTATTGTACTTATGTAGAATAAATGTTTAAATTATAATTTTTTTTCTATTATAGTCAAATTTAATAATCTGAGACATCCTATGAATAATTTGCTGTATCTTTGGCCATAATTTAAATAATTATATTGTTTTATTTAAACCTTAACATTTTATTCTGATATCTTTTTTATATATATTTTTTTCTTTCATTTGTTTTTGAGTTTGTCTTCTTCAATTTTATTGATTGCTTTGGTTTTTTTTATTTATTTTGTTATGTTGATTACAAATATATTAGTGATGTTTAATAAAATGTCAATAATTATTATATTAATTAATAACTCTTATTTTTAACCTTTCCTCTCCTAGGATAAGGTATAAAATCCATAGTATTTTACCTTGGCTCATGGTGAATCCTTTTGGGCTCTTGTTGAGTCAGGCAGGTATAAAATATTAGTTTAGCTTAAAGTATATTAAAGGGAAGGGACTGTCCTATCAATTAAAAATGTTCTAGTTACCAATGGCTTATGATATGTGATATATACAGAGTAATTAACTATCTTATTTATTAAATAATGATCTAATTAAGAAAATTACTGGCGATAGCAATTTTTAAACCACTATTTAATATGACGATTAAAATGTAGTCTTAGGGAGAGGCACGAGTATGACTACTTATATCGTAAGATATTTTTCTCTTCCCGCCCATCTACAAAAAAATGTTAATAGCATCTGAAATGCAGTCTAGTAGTTGTTATCGACTATTATTTTTCTTAATTAGATGATTATTTAAAAAATGAGTTACTAAATTATGTATGTTGCCGTTTGAAAAAAACTCAGCACAGTAGGAACGCAGCATAGTGATTTTATTTAGTCTAGTTATTTCAGAAATGTCTTGTGCGTGTTCAAAAAAGTGCCTTGCCTCGTGACCTGTTTTAGATGTACCTTTGCCTTGCACTCTTTTGTCTACCATTGTTCCCAATTATTCACATAGTTTGTTCTGAATCTGTATTTTTTTTTTTAATAGAAATTGCAATATTTTATACAGACGAGCATGCGAAATAATTCATATTTTAAACTATTATAATTGCAATTTAAACTTTTATTTTCTCTAAGTTGTTTATATTATTGAGAGTACATTTACAAATATTATAGATTATATTGGATGAGTTACATAATGTATTAATAATTCTTCCATAAATCATAATAAGGCAGGTTTTTGTAGAAAATTATTAAAAGTGGAAAAGAAAAAAAATTTTATATTACTTTTAAATCCCAACTTTAATTAATGATTACATATTCAAAAAAAATTACAGGGAAATATAAATTGTATTAAAAGTTATAAGAGTTTTCAGTTAGATAATAATCAGGTGTTCATCCCGTCTATAAAATTTTATAATTTTTTTATAATAAAATAAAAATTAATTGAAAATTTCATTATTTCTTTTACTTTAAATAATGCTGTAGAAATAATAAATCATATATTTTCTAAATAAAAACCACAATAAATAAATTTTTAATAATATAAAATCAGTATTTCGTCTTCCCTGAAAATTGTCAAAAATATATATAAACAGTATAGATATGGTGTAATAAGTAAACGTGATTACATTATTAATTTCATATTGGTGACATCTTATATATATATATATATATATATTAGAAAACAGTCAATTTTTCTAAATTTAATTAAATCTAAAAAAATATAATTGCGTCATAAACATTTATTAGTCGGTCATGGTGGACGCAAAATTGGAACACTAAATTAATAATAAATTAAAAAATAATAAAGAATCAATAATGATTTATCTAAATTTATGTGAGCTGTGCGAAGAAAAAAGTTCGATAGAAAAAAGTTGGTAGTAAAGCCTATATCAAAAAATATGAATTTGCATTGTCAAATCAATATTTCTTGCTAATAAAATATGCAAGCACAGTCAAACAATAATAGTAAATTTATTATTTTATTATCAATATCATTCAACAAAGTTTATATTATTACTGCCTCTTACCTATGAATGAGCGAAGAAGTAGCTTATATACTACTGAATGTGTTCACAGTATTTTGGATCCATTCACACTATTTCACTACACAGTGATAATTACAAAGAGATTTCGTTAACAAAATAATATTGGAGTTTAGAGTTTTCAGAAAAATAGTTTGTCAAGAAGGTGAATTCGGGAATGTGTACCAAAATCTGTTAAGTAAATTGAAAATTGTTAATGAAAACCTCATTATTCACAAAGCCAAGGTTTCATTGAATGCGCTACTACAAAATCAAACTAAGAGAATATGCAAATTACAAGTTACAAGATAACAAAATAAAAAATGAGGTGAAGGACAAGCGTCCCAGATATTGAAATTTTTTTAGGAGAAGCTGCTAAAATTGTTCATAAATTGCACTTGTGTTCAACAATCACTGACCATAAGGTGGTAAAAATGTAAGACAGCTAGTAACATTTGAAACTTAAAATTTCATAATGGAAATTCATCTAAGAGTCTAAATAATAAATATCTAAATGAAGATATTACCCTCAACAATTGAAAAATTTTCTCTTGTTCTTCGTAAATGGGGAAAATACCCCAAAAAATTACAATATTTAAATTTTGATATTTTTAGTAAATTTGAGAAATATATAACATAATTATTATTTTAAGGAAAATCTAGTGACTATTAAAAAATTATCTTGTAATTCACCACCATAATTTATCATATGCCATTAGTAGCTAAGTCGTTATTTTGGAAAGGCAGCCTCCTTACTTTTAATATATTTGTGTTGAATTTACATAAATTTATGTCAAATTTCATGAAGCATAAAAACTTAATATTAACTTTTGAAAATGTTTTAGAAATACTCCGAACTTTAAGCATTTGTTAAATTATAGCTTTTACTATTTACTTAAATTAAAAAAAATAAATTTGTCCCGATTCCTTGAGTTGAGATAATTCTTTGATACATAAAAGAAACACACCCTCTTCAATTCATATGATAATAAAACCCTTAAAACCCATTTGTATAACATAT